TAATCAGTGGAACAGCTTGCCTCCAGAAGTTGTGAATGCCCCAACACTGGAAGTCTTTAAGAAGATGTTGGATAGCCATTTGTCTGAAATGGTATAGGGTTTCCTGCCTAGGCAGGGGTTGGACTAGAAGTCCTCCAAGGTCCCTTCTAACTCTGCTATTGTATTGTATTGTATTGTATTGTATTGTATTGTATTGTATTATAGCATCTATCTGAAACGTCTTCAAGTGACAATGACTTTCCTGAAATAGTGCTGCCACAAGCTCTGGAACATCTTTGGACAACTAGGAATCTTGAATATCTACATAATTCTACCCATAGTTATAGTTACAATAACGTTCACCTACAGGGTAAGAAAACTGTGGCTCTCCAGATTCTGTTAAAATAGAATCCACACAATCCCTCACTAGTCATTATATTAGTTGGAATTGCTGAATAAATTTTCAACCCCTCAAACTCTCCATTCACATAGAAGGAAATTTTTTTGCTAAAGAAAGTAAAATATACTTTTAAGTAAAAAAAGAAAAACGTTGAGCTTATATATAGAATATTGGTTTCAAATTTACAGTGCATATCTCTGAATAAACAAACATGTAAGCCTTCCAGTTTGCAAAGCCCCAGTGTCTTCCCTTTTCCTCTATTTTTCCTCATTGCTTTACACTGAGATATTTTCCGTAAGTAACTAACAACTTAATAGTCATCACTAGATAAACAAGCCTCACTATCCATTTTATTGTTTATTTGAAACTTACAGGAACAGGAAATGGAAACAATGTAAATTATGCCTGAGTGGGTTTGTAGCAAAAATCAAGGAAATGCATTACAAAATGTAGTTTACAGAAAATGTTTGTAATTTTCAGTGTTCTATACCGTTTTTGTGCTAAAACTGAAGCTCAGGATGAATGTAAATTTATGCTAGGAACCTTATGCACAATTTGGAGGAATAAAAACAAAGAAGAAGAAAAAACCTATTGCCATATGTCTACCATATATTTTTAAGTTTTAAAGAAGCTTGCCTTATATGTTTTCCAAAGTATAATTGGTAGGTCATCTTTATTGCATTTTATCACCCTGTTTAGGGTAAAAGACATCTCTTTAAAACAGAAAAAAAAATTCTCCTCTATCTTTTTTTCTCGATGAAAAGCACTTTTAAAAGTGATTCATTAAGCAAAAATTTTCTGAGAAGAAAGGGAAGTTAATCAAGTGAAATAATAAGTTCATAACAACTGCACAACATTTTTTAAAAAATCCTAGAAAAATGGATATATATTTTTCCTCTGAGGTAAAATGAGGTATAATGGAGGAAGGAAAACATTTTAGGGCAAACAGATTCAGAAGCCTGTCACTTACCATTTTTACTTTTCTGTTTTCCAAATGTGAATAGTTTCTTCCATATTTGGTGAATTAAGCACCTACTTAACTAGGACATCAGTTTACAGTAAAATTATTACAATATCTTTCTTCAAGCATTTTATTTTATGACTATGATCTAATTCAAATGACATCATCTAATGTCCTGGCCAATTAAACAATTATAAATCTATAAAATAGTTTCTCAACCTGTTGCCCCACAGGTGGGTTGTAGACAGTTAGGAATTATGTGAATTACAGCCTGAACACAATTGAACGGCGCATCAGTTTGCTGAAGGTGGAATGCAAGCTTTGAGGAGGCTTCCTTTATTGCTTATTTCTAACCATTAAAAGGGATGTAGTGGCTCAGTGGCTAAGATGCTGAGCTTGTCGATCAGAAAGGTCAGCAGTTCAGCGGTTTGAATACCTAGCACCGCATAACAGTGAACTCTCGTTACTTGTCCCAGCCAACCTAACAGTTCGAAAGCATGTAAAAATGCAAGTAGAAAAATAGGGATCACTTTGGTAACAGCGGTCTGTGTGCCTTCGGCATTTAGTCATGCTGGCCAGATAACCACAGAGATATATTCAGACAGCACTGGCTTTTTGGCTGTGAAATGGAGATGAGAACCACTCCCTAGAGTCAGGAACAACTAGCACATATGCGCAAGGGAAGCCTTTACCTTTACCTAACCATTAAAAAACTCACACATTACTTGAGTTCATTGGGTTATGCAATAGAAATCTGGACAATTAGTCCTTTATTTACTTTCCCCCCCCCCCCTTTCAAATCAAGAAAGCATGAGCTACTGTTCTTTGCTTCAGATCTGACTTAGGCTGACATACTACCGTATTTTTAAGAAGACTTATTTCCTCAAGTAGCTCACATATATTCTAAGCTATCATCTAAGATTAGTAATAACTGTATATATATTCAAGAGCCATTTCAACATTGCAGAAGACAGAAAATGCTCAACTTGAAAGACGATATTATAGATATAAAGAAAACCACTCAAACATTAACCTAAAGGTCCAGGATTTCATATATATTCTACAGTCTTTTCTCAGGACCATCAAAATTCCTCTTCCAAAAATGATAATCTTTGCATAATTTTACTAGGTGAAAATACAACATTTGCTCTAAGAAATTTATAGAAAAATTATTTTATATCCTTAGGATTGCAGTGACTGATTAATACACCACTTGATTAATGTAGTTTGACTTTGAATGCAAGTGAATACATAAAGCAATGGTTCCCCTCTTTTGGTGCATAGAAATTGTACTTTCCCATTCTGACTGCCTGAGGACCAAAACGGTAGGGACCTAATTCCATGTATTGTAAATATGGATGTGAGATGATCCACCCATCTGATATCTTGTCACCTGATATAATCAGAAAGGTATATGCATGCATAATGTCATAATGTCATACAAAAAAAACCCATTTAGCCCAAGGTGTAAATTCTGAATAACAGCTTTCTGAGCCTGATATGTCACCAACTAAATTTGAATGCCAAATCTGGCTTCTACTGCCACAATTGTAGATTTGCTTCCATTCTGTGAAAGATTTACCAGGGAATATAGAAAAATGTATTTTTGTGATTTACTTAGAACAGTTTGTTTTGGTAAACATAGACTATAGATGAGATCGAGAAATGATAGTGTGTGTGGCTTCTGCAAAGCGCTGAGTGCCTTATAGTGCTGCAAATAGACAGCAGGAAGACTGTTGGAAGAGTGTCCTGTTTCCCTTCCAGTCTGAACTGTTTTATCTTTACTCAATATAGTCCAGAAAAATGCCTTCTTTTACTGAGGTTCTATGCCAGCAGTAGTCTGCACAGTAGCCCTTAGGGTTGCTTATTAGGATTGCAGTAGACAAATATCCTTTGTAAGATGGGTTTAAAAATATATAAAAAATACAGCTGATCCTCTTTTCAGAAAATGGGTATTTATTACTTTTCCACTGGCAGCTTGGTAGGAGTCATTTTTTATTCCTATAATGTTATCAAGCTCTGGTGTATGCAGTAGTGCTGATAAGGGTTGAGAAATGTCACCCTTGAGACCACCAGGGATTATTGTTATTCATAACTCTATAGTGAGACAGCTGATCACTTGGAACGGGAAATAATTCTACTGTTCTGCTTGGGCAGTTGCTATTCTTCCTGTACCAGGATATTGGGATTGAAACTGGAGGAAAGGATGCAACTGCCATTGTGTTTCAGACTGAAATTGAACTGTTCAATGATTTTCAGCGGTGCTGCTCAAGGAAGGTTTCTTTATGAAAATGCCTTTGAGTAGGCAACCAAAGAGAGAACAAAGATATAGAGATAAACTGGATTGAATAAGCAGAGATTCAGAGGCTATCACAAAACATAACGACCCAAACTGGATGGTGGGAGGATGGGGAAGAACTGTTTAAGACATAATCCTTTCATGGGCCAGAAGTAGCAATTATATTTGTATAGGAAGGGTTTCATATAGTATAATCCTGACGCTGATTTTTCACTGCATTCTCACCAGAGAAGTAAAGTGATTATCATACTTCCAAATACGTCTCAGAAAGTGCCACATTTCTGACATATATGAAACAGTGCATTTCTTTGTCCATTGCAAACCTATTCCAAGTACAATAGAAAAATTAGAGAATGAACACTAAAAAAAAAATAGAATATTCACAAAGGCCTAGAAATTGAACCATAAATTGCAAGTTCCCTTCACTCCAGAAATATAAAATACTACAAGTCTAGTTTAATGAACAAAAAAGAAGTTTGATTATAGTAAACAATTATTCTAAAATGAAATTAACAACTGCTATGTGAAATTAAAATAAAAAGAAATTTAGGCTACAAGAACCAAGAAATAACTTTCTTTTTTAAATATTTGGTTTCCTTGAACTGAGGCTTCATGTAAAGTAAATTTCCTCTAGTGAAGCCTTCACCTTTCATATTGATTTTCTCAATTTCTCACACATTATGTCATGTTTTTTTCTTCTCGAGATATATAAATTTCATTGTGAGTTAGGTGACATCATTGTAAGATAGTTCACACAATGCCTAATTCTTTCCCCTAGCAGCCATTGATCAGATGTGATCAATAACCCAACCAACAATTAATTCCAGTGGGAGAGATATTTTTCCCATCTGTTTGTAATTTTAGCAGCCCAACTCTTCTCCAGGCCTTTAAACACAGGCTCCGTATTTGTGCTTGAAGCGTGAGAAGACTTGTGTGGGAAGTGCTGACTCATCTCCATGGAGGTTTCACTGAAGGAAGAAGACAATGGCTATATAAAGGGAGGGAACAAATGCCCACTTATGTTGTAAAACATAGTCCAAGCAGAGATCCCAAGCTATATCCATTCTCCATACAGTTGCAAACTATCCTTATCTGCCATTTAATACTTTAGTACCTTTTAAGAAAGGTCTTAGAAATATAAAAATTAAATAATCTTGATGTCTAAGTTTACAAACCAAATAATGTATTTTAAATACCTTGTTAAATAAAATACATTTCTTCTAAAGGTTGTTTTATAACAAATTGGTAGGAAATTAAGTAAATAATCCATTCCCTTTTCATTGTATTCCTGGGGAATAATATACTGCTGAATACACAGTACCTGCTTCACAAACGCTGAAGCTTACAAACCTGTTTGATTCTAAGTTAGTTGTCGTCACTTGGAATTCTCCCATTCCAATTCAGTTGTTCTGTTCAGCTCACAAGATAACACTGTAGAAGTTACTGACTGAAAGGCAAGTAATGCAAATAACTTTTTATATCTCCATTGGAAGGAGTGAATGTCAACACTGGCAGTAAACAGAAATGCCATGAAAGCACCAAAGTTAAATAAGTTATCTTATCTGAGCACTGTTCTTTTTCATTTGCCAAACTAATGAAGAAGGGGAAGGAAAATCACACAATGCTGCATTTTGCTGAATTTAGATAGAACAAGTAAACCACATATTGAACTCAAACCATGCTTTAGTTGGTGGGTAGCTATTTCAGTCACAGTGTGCCTGGATAATAACATGGTGTGCATATCCTGAATAACAAAAGGCTCTTCAAAATTATTGTGAAATCTTTTTTTCAAGTTAGAAAAACTCAGCAATCACATAGCTCAATCTTCCTGAACCTGGCTCCTAGCTCATATAGTGGATTATAATTTTCAGAATCTCCAACCTATTGGTTAAGAATTATGGGGATATATAACTGAAGATTTCAGGATGGGAAACTCAGTTTTAGAGGATGCCATCTTGTACATAATACAAATATAGAATTGTTTTTGTTACCAGTTTGACATACCTAATATGAACATTTCTTATTAACAGATTCACTCATGAAACTTATTGCAAAATGGAATGAGGCTGAGATTTTGTTATTTTATTTGTATTGGATTGTTAGGCAAATACCACAATGGTGGATAATTAGTTAGATTTTCATGCTTGGTTCTTCGGGGCTTTCCACTGACAATTTGCTTGGCTAACTTCTGAAATGTTCACTGGTGTCATGAACATAAAGAATTATTTTGTTTCAGAATTTAAATCTATCAATCCATTAGAATAAAGAAGTATAAATCAAGCAGTGTTAGACCTAATTACCACCAGAATTTTGTGAAATAAAAAGTCCAACCTGCCAGTTGAACCAAAGTCTTAACTGTCCTCTTTTGAGTTGAGCTCAACTCCTAAGGACTGTGTGAACAAGAACAATGGTGCTTTTTCTATGACATTCTTTTTTTAAAAAAAATAGGCTTCACTTTTGCTTAGAACCCTGATGGTCTTCCATTTAGGCTTGACCCTATTATTTTTTTGATATCAATCAAGGTTGGGTAGACAGTAGACACCAGGCTAAAAATAGAAAGACTCTGACTTCTAGTCTGCCTTGAGCAGAGTGACTTTGAGTTAGTTACTCTCACTCAGCCTGAGGAAGGAGCAAAAGCAACTCACTTTTGAAAATCTGCAGGGGTTTGTCTGTGCAGTTGCCAGGAATCAATACTGATGCAAAGTTGTACTTGTACACATCCACAAACCCCAAAATTGGTTAAATTATTCTTTAGGTTAATTTAAATTATGCTTTCTGAAACTTTTTGTGTCTACTAGAGTTGAGTGGCCAATAAAGAAATAAATTCACAAATAATGTTTCCTAGAAATACTATTTGGAATGGTAGCTCCTTATCCCAATGTACTTTTACTATTTCTAGTTATGGTTCTTTAATGTAGTCTTTCTAATTAGTTCTCCACTCAAGACTAGAGAGTGGATGAATAGAGAGATGGCACATACTTACATTTCTTAATAGGAAAAAAGGTCTTTGCCACACATTCCAGTCAGGATATCTGCTGAATCTTTATCTTGAAATTACTTGGATGAAAAGCCTTCTGGAACCTGGAAAAGAAAAAATAATGACCTCACTGTAACTCTTTAAACCATACTATAGTATTGTTTTTCATTGACTAGTGAGATTTAGTTCCTTTTTTTCTAAATTTGTGTCCAGAAGATACTTTTATGGAATTACTGATCAACACTTGGCCTATTCTGTTTTACAGATTTCCAACTTCCATTTCATGCTGCTCAACATCTACATGACAGTGACTGAATAAACCATCCAAGATTTTGGGGTGGATTCTACTTGAGTACTGAAGATATCTGCTTCTTGTTATCTCCAAGGAAGCACTTGTATCACTGACTAACTTTATAACTGGTTAACATTAAATCCAAACTGAGTGGAAATGCCATGGAAAAGTAGAAAACTGGATTAGAATTTGGAGGGTGTTTCATTTCCTTCTGAGAGAGTGGGTCCATATTCTGGAAATGCACCTTGATTGTCAATTGTCACTGAATCTGCAGGTTGAGGCTGTGATGAGGAGTACTTTTGCATAATTAAGATTAGTATTCCAGCCTGTTTTGGTTACCTATTGGAATGTGTTCTATATGCATTACTTTGAAATTACTGAAAAAGATAACTAATCAGCCAATGGAACTGGCCAAGCTATAGAAATCCCATGATAACTACAATACAGAAGAACTGCATTGCTTATCAAATGCTTATTGAACACAATTTAAGATGTTGTTATTGCCCTGTTATCAGGGCATTGAACCTGACTATCTGAAGAGCTGCCTCTCTGATTATAAACTTATTTGCCAGTGAAATATGCAGAAAATGCTCTTTTAAGAATACTGACTTCGGTCCTGATATATGGGAAAGTGACTTTTACATAATTTTGACAGGGGTCAGTCTGCTTATTCATAGATATATTCATATATTCTGCTTCTATAAATATGCATACTTATGAGTACATACTCATGAGTATGATTCAATTATTAGCTTCTTACAATAATTTATTATCATGAAATTAGATCATGTTGTTGTTAGTTGCGAAGTCATCTCCGGCCCATCGAGACCCCATGGACAACGTTCCTCTAGGCCTTCCTATCCTCTACCATCATCTGGAGTCCATTTAAGCTCATGCCTACTGATTTGGTGATTCCATCCAGCCACCTCATTCTCTGTCGTCCCCTTCTTCTTTTGCCCTCAATCTTTCTGGGCATTAGGCTTTTTTCCAGTGAGTCCTTCCTTCTCATTTGGTTGGCCAAAGTATTTGAGTTTCATCTTCAGGATCTGGCCTTCAGCAGTCAGAATTGAACTTCTCTAGGATTGACCAGTTTGATCGCCTTGGAGTCCAAGGGACTCACAGGAGTCTTCTCCAGCACCATAGTTTAAAGGCCTAAATTCTTTGGCTCTCAGACTTTCTTATGGTCCAACTTTCACAGCCATACATTGCAGCTGGAAAAACCATAGCCTTGACTATACACACACTTTTGTTGGCAGGGTGATGCCTCTGCTTTTTAGTATGCTGTCTAGATTTGCCATAGCTTTCATCTCCAGGAGAAAGCGTCTTTTAATTTCCTGGTTGCAGTCCCCATCTGCGGTGATCTTGGAGCCCAGAAAAATAAAATGTGTCACTACCTTCATTTCTTTCCCATATATTTGCCAGGAATTGAGAGGACCGGATGCCATGATTTCAGTTTTCTTAATGTTGAGTTTCAAACCAACTTTTGCGCTCTTCTTCTTCACCCGCATCAAGAGGCTCTTTAGTTCCTCTTCATTTTCTGCCATTAGAGTGGTATCATCTGCATATCTGAGGTTGTTGATATTTCTCCCGGCAATCTTAATTCCAATTTTAGATCTTATAATATCAATATCATCTATCTAGTAATCTAAAATTACTTAGGGTCGGAATATGTGAAGGACCCTGTTATTTGACTTTACTATTAGTTGATTAATTCTATTAGCTATTTGTATTTGTTAATTTTGTGGAAGTTTTAATTGTTTTAATGTTTTAAAATTGTTTTATAATTTTATAATTTTAAGCCACCCAGGTTGGTGGATATAGAGGTTGAATGAATGAATGAATGAATGAATGAATGAATGAATGAATGAATGAATGAATGAATGAATGAATGAATACATACATACATACATACATGCATACATACATACGTAAATTGGCCAATAAAATATTATTTGCCTGATTCAGATGAACTCTGGAGGCAGGATTCTGATATGGATAAGGAGTATTCAATAAATACATGCATGATACATGCAATCTGCAATGTGATTCTCATGTGTCCTAGAACATCAAAGACTGACACAAAATGTACATGGTTCTATTAAGAGAGAGCGAGCAAGAGAGAGAGAGAGAGAGAGAGGGAGGGAGGGAGGGAGGGAGAGAGAGAGAGAGAGAGAGAGAGAGAGAGAGAGAGACTCACTCAAAATCACCGAGCCAACTTTCATACCTAACACAGGACTAGAACTGACAATCGCCTGGTTTTGTTGTTGTTGTTGTTATTATTATTATTATTATTATTATTATTATTATTATTATTATTATTATTATTAGTTATATTTTTATGCTCATATTTGTTTCAGATTAAACCATTTTTCAAACTGATCTAATAAAAGACTTCAAAGGTAGTGATTACAATCCTTATAAAATATTAATATAAATAACTGGAAATTACCTATTTCATCATGCATGACCCAGAATTTCAAATCTACAGTTATCTAAGATAGTTTTATATTTTTTCCCCTGCCACTGGCCTAACAGAAGCTTCAATTGCAAGCAAAACGACTACGGTACTTTTTGGTTGAAGCTACAAGGTTCCAATATAAGGCTGGTTCTTTTCTAGTCTGTTAACTCTGGTTCCAGTTACTCTATGGATTTTGTCTACAGAAGATGTCCTGGGAATTCTTCTCCAAATTAACAGATTAATATTCCCCTCTTACATTCATAATAAGAGAAATCTATGCCCCAAGACTGCAATCGCATATGTTTTTATTATACTATTTTCAATTTCCAAAGACCATTTTTGTTGCATTTTAATATTTGCATATGGATAATGGTGTTAATAGCTATTTGCTCACCTGCCAGCTATTAATACTACATACTGCTTCTCTGCCCAGGTGTTTTTTTGCTGGCTGTAACTAGTTTAATATGTATTGTAATATCAGCAATCAATACACACACTTGCAATTTATATTCCAGTGTGATATAGCCAGGGTTTTATTTGAATTCAAGAGAAGAGGGTCACACAAATCAATTAGAAATTAAAACCTGAGTTTCAAAGGCAATACAGTTAGGTTAAAATATATTTGATGTCATAAATCAGCTATAAAAGAGAAGCATAATGTGTGCTAATGCTTCATTTTTGTCAGAACCTGACAAAAATGTGGGGTTTATTCATTCTGCTACAAAAAGAAGCAGCTGCAGGCATTTTGATGTTTCCCTATTATAAAAAGATATTGTGCAATCTTTTATCAAATCAGATCTCAAATCAGTTTGAATTTGATGCTTTCCTATTCAGATCTCAGATTCAAATTAGATCTTGGTTGACTGCCACATATTTTGAATTCAATAAAGTTTTGGACAAAGTCTATCATGACAGTTTGATCAGAAAGCTAATAAATTGTGTTACAATACAGATATCTCTTAGTTAGAGCCACAGCTGTCTTGAAAGCTATGTCCTAAAAGTTTTCATTAGTGAATTTGCATCAAACTGGACTATAATATAAAGTAGAAGCTGCAGCATTTGCTCGTTTTGAAATGCTTACTATTTTCATTAAAGACTTGGATAGAGAATAATGCTTGCAATTGCTAAAAACCGAAGTGAAACACTAATTGAAATAATTTACACAACATAAACAAAATTCAAATTAATGTGCTGGAAAAAAAATTATTTATAAGCTGGAAAAAAGGGCTGAAAATAATCAAAAGAATTTTAAGAGACACAAATATAAAGTTCTTTTTTTTTAATGAAGAAATCTACAAGTAATCCATGGCTTATAATGCATGATAGAATATGAGTCTGTCCCTATGATATGTGAAAAGAAGTTTGCAATTGTATTTAAGATTGCGTTGCAAGAAATATAATTTTCAAATTATGAGTTAATAGTTTTACTATATTTTGCATTGTTCATATACCATATGGACACTGACCAATTCTGGACACCAAGGCTGAAACATTGGAATAAGTTGAGAGATAGAAAGAATGAACTAGATACCTATAGCCTTAAAGAAAGGATTGCAAAAAGGAATAATGTTACAGGAAGACATATCTCTTTGACAGTGAAATCCATTATGCAGAGGGGTGGTGAGTTTCCCTTCACTGGATAGTTTGAAGCAGATGCTAAGCAATCTTCTGACTGGGATACTTTGCTTTTGATTCCTACACTGAGGAGAGGATTGTACTCAATGGCCTAAATAACCCTTCCATTGCAAAGTTCAGTTTATCAAAAAGACAGGTCCTTCCTCCAGAAATTACAATGTTTATTTAAAAGTATCGGAACTGGCACCACTATTATGTTATATCTTTGCTATTATGATGTGTTATAGGTGTAAAAAAAAGGTGTTTTTCAGAATTCACTGCAGGAGAGGTTACTTTTTTTCACCTTTGGTCCTCAAAGACTTGTTTACTTGGTAGGAACAAGCTCCATTAACCTTTACCGTTTAAAACTTTTACTTATGAATCAACAGTTGTGCAGGCTCAGACTAGTTCTGAACAAGTTTTTCTTGCCCTGATTCAAGGTGACAGAGGACAAAAATCTACCTAACAACCCAAATGAAAATATAAATAAATAGCTACTCAAGTACTGTATGAACACATTATGAAGTCCAACAAGTCATTTCACAATAATGACATTTGAATTATTCCCTTTCTACATATTTGCAAGTGCAACAAGTGGAAAGTGGTGTATATGGAAGGACATTTGCTGAGATTTTATGAGCCAGTATTTGCATGGTCATTTGCTCTGGGGAAATGAAAAAGTATCCACCAGTCATACAAGCACTGAAGAGAATGTCTGTTGAAGCGTGCATGCACTGATCCTGACCTTAAGTCTGTCCCATTACCAATAACCTGTACCATCTAGGCTGGTCATTCTTACCTTACATCTTCCCTTAAGGGCTTCTGTGACTGTAGCAACTGCTGAACATGTCAGGGGGTTTGAGGCCGGCTGTCATTGCACCCCGCTGATTGGTTCCCCTCCTGACAGCTGTCAAGTATAAATAGCTGTCAGGCGGGCATTGTTCCCTGTTCGTTACTTCTTGCTATGCTGTTGTTTTAAAATAAAGTTTCCTGGTTGAACCTCTCCTCAGTGCCTGAGTATTTAAAAAAAATGTTTGTGTGTATTATGCCTTAAAATGGCCTCTACTGTACAGTGCAGTGGAGTTGCCATGGTAACGGCTTCACAGTACTCCATAAGGGGGCTCCCTCTGGTAAGGGGGAAAATCCAACATTAGACATTATGTTTAATTCAGACATTTCCCCCCTATAAATAAATACCTGGGCTAAACCAGGCTATCGGTTAGTATATTATAAAGTAATAAAGGTGTGATAAAAATCTAATAAATAAATACATACATACATACACCCATACTGTACCTTAGATAGATAAATAGTGCATTTTGCCTTGGTTTTGTTCTCTGTTGTCTTTGATGCTCGAAGGGTTTCTTTGTGTACCTTACACCAGGTACAGAAAGAGTCCAGAGGAGGTGTGAAGAACCTTTTCATTACATTGCTACAATAAAGACATCTTTCTCAAAGTTTCATTGTATTGTTTTTAATTGTTCATTTGTGTTCATTTTGATGTTTGGCTTTTTAGGGGATGTGATACATCAAGATTACAGTAAAAGGAGCAAAAGGTTTAGGAACCTCTGGTTTAAAATAAATATTATTTTATATCTTTTTGAACTTGATTGTAAATACAGCAAGGCAAATATAAAAGTAGTTTAAATAAGTAATAAGTGAAACAAAATTATTTTTGCCTAAGTTTACACAACTTGGGAATCCTAAATATACTATATCTATTGTATTTTACTTTTTCTCATGAATGGATTTACATTTTAATATTTAGTTTTTCTTCCTGTTAAATGCTCGAAGATTCCAATTTTAGTTATTAAAGCCTGGAACTACAAGCTTTTAATTATGGGAACATGCATTTTGAACTATTTTTTTTAGCAATTGGATATGGTTAATAATGTGAGTTTTCCTTTACTTTATAACTTAATGTGTCATCTTGCCATACTTGATTTATTGGTTTCCTATATAAAACAATAAGAAATTAAATTAAAATTCTACCAAGTGATTATTTGCTATTATTATTTTGCCAAGCAGGTAGCAGCACTTACCCCACTTTTGGAAAAGAAAAGTAAGATTGGAGCCAGTTAGTACTTAGGAGTAGGGTTACAGTTAGGGACACTAGCAGAAAGTCCCAAGGCTGTAGGCTACACTGGAAAGTGGGGGAAAATGTCTAGTAAAAAAGAAAGACAATGGCAAACTGTCTCCAGGTTATTGCCAACAAAACTACACAGATGTCACCATCTGAATCTGACTTGAATAAATCTTTTGCTGTTTTCTCTTTTTATTTGACATATGGAAAGGCTGTTTAAGTGATAAGTTCAAACCCCACTGTATATTAAGGTGATTTAAGTTAAAAATTTTCATTTGTTAGTAAAATTAGTTGGAGTTGGGAAATGTTACAAAGAGACATTTCAAAGATGAATGGCACTGTAGTGATACTATACTTACTGTAATGATACTATGGTGATGGAATGAAAGCACTGTGTGCATGTTGAAAGATATTTCTTCCTCTTTATCATTATTTCACTGTCAGGTCAGTTCGATTGTTTTCTTTCCTGGAGGCTGATAACCTTGAGTCTCCACTTGTCTGCTCTGAGCCATAGTTGAACTGGAGATGGAAAACTGTGGTGAGGCCTTGATTTCTTCCAGGTTCGATGCTGCTGCCAAAATCAGATTGGTTCATCCATTTTTAGAAGTGTTGTCCTATTCTGGGGCAAGAAAGTGCTCTAGATAACAACACAAGTTGTTATTGAACATTTTTTCCCACTTTTGTATTCTATTAAATGACGCAAAATTCAGTTTATAAGATCAGCAGCATGAATGATTTCTCAGAAGTAAAATTCATTGATTCCAATGCAATTTAGTCACCACTAAATGCATTAAATGCAGTTTCAACTTTACAACATCTAGAAGGAGAAGGAAAAGGAGAAGATGATTGCAATACCAAATTAGATTGGGATTTTTTCTGTCTGGAGTAGTGGGGAGGTGAATAAAGAGCATTTTTAAAAAACTATTCTTCCTTCTTGTGTGCTCAGCAAAAGCTACAGGAGGGTGGGAGGCAACATACATTGTTCCTTCAGCAGAAAAAAACATACTAAAATAAAAACAACTTAGAAAACTTTTTGAAAATATGATTCTCTACCTTAAGACCATGCTGACTGAAGAGTTCTGGGGTTGAAGTCCACACACTTTAAAGACTGAAAAACACTGCTCTATACTATTTCAAAATGCTAATTGCATTGTTCTGATAGTTTAAAATGCAAAGATCTACACCCTCCTATATTGACCATGAAGATATTGAAGTGGTAAATAGCTTCAGCTTTTTAGGATTAAGCACAGTCGCACAGATGCATGTCTTTCCATTCAGCTAAAGTAGCTTATGGAAGGAGCAGCCATCAATATCAAAGTGTTTGAATTATTCAGACAGTGTATCATATTCAGTGATGCTAAGACACAACAGGTTTTTCTGGAAAAAAGAGGGAAGGGAGAGCATTATTTTTCTTCATAGTAAATGATTGCTCTTCTTACTAAGCTGTTTACCTAGATCAACAAAAGTAACAGCATAGCAGCAGCTGCTGAAGTACCTTAATAGTATTGAATTGCCTGGATAAATACAAATCAAATTACATTAATATCTCAGCAAGCATAGCTGGAGGAAAAGTCTGGTTTTAGGAGGTTTAGGTTACTTTTTTAAATATCAAAATTGAAAGACCCTGAGAGACAATATCACAAGCTTAATTTTTAAAGCAGCTTTTGATAAGCCTGTTGCTGTAAAAGCAAATTTGGGCATAGAAATGAGTTCTAGCATAATAGATAAACCAGCTAAAATATGGAGAATTGGACAGAAGGTTTCTAGGTTCCTAAAGGATAAATATATTATTTGTTGTCATACTTGTAAGACTGAGTTTGCTAGTTATCCAGAGAAAAAACAAGATTCTATTTATTTGTTCCAGGTAGGATTTTCTGAGGAATTTTTGTTGTTGAATGCGTTTGTCAACACATTCAGAACACTAAAAGCAAAATTATATTAATAAAAAGGTATTTGAAAAGATACAGTACAGGAAAGGCAAAAACATAGGAAAATGTCATGACTTGTGTAACTAAGAGCATATTCTTTCTATATTTTATGAAGTTTTTATCTTTTTCTGAGTATGCATTTTCATCCATTGTTAATTGTTATTCTTTATTCATAAACCAAACCAAATCAAACCAGAACATAGTGAGGGAGGGCCAAATTTAGTCACAGCTGGAAACTGAGGAAACACATTTTGCATTTCTGTATAAACAACCTTAATTCTGGGCACGAGGAATATGCAAAATGTATGCATTGTTAGTTAACACCTGATCACTCTCCTTTTCTGGCACATTAATAATTGTATGTTGATTTCTTCTTTCAAAAGGGTTCTGAATAGCTCTATTTTACTTTAGAGATGGGATGTGAATTTAAGACTTCAGACTTTGAAGCCAGGCTAGAGGGAGTCTTGAATGAATGGCTATATCAAATCCACACTTTCCCATGTATTTCAGTATAATTTTCAACTCAGAAAAATGCACATCAAGAGTTATTTTGGAAAAGTACACATAAAAATGTTTTAGGAAAGAATGTATAAAATGTACAATACAATACAAAAAGAATGTCCATTAAGAAAAATCTGGACAAAAATATATTTTTTCGGTGAACATTTTTTCCTACAAATCTGCAAACTGAAATGACATAGCCTGTTCTTTATCAATACGTAGACATATAAGACATCAACTTTAGAGACCTGGCATCAGAAAAAAGTCCATTAAAGGTAGCCAGGTTGCATTTTAACCCTTTTAATCTTGATGAAATAGACCAGCTTTATATTATTTTACTTCTAACAGGTTTAATCTTTAATTCAATCAAATATTGCTGTATATACCATTGCTCATTTCTTCAAGGCTTTAATAAGCCTCTTTTAAAGATCCAGTAAGAAAACATTTTCCAAATCATTCTCTTGGTTTATTTGTTGTATTTATTTTTAATTTTTTTTATTTGTAGTTCTGCTTTCAGTACTTTCATTATTTCATCAAATAAAATGTGTTTCACATCTGACATTCTTTCATTGACATCTTTGGCGTAGATCTACTGTACATCATCTATAGCTTTATGTTGTTTATTTTAAATTCTTTAAATTCTTACGCTTGTAATTATTTTTTCTTTAAAGATAATTGTAAAAGTCACTTGATAAGGGCTTTTAAAATTTGTCATTCTCAAGGTCTATAATAAGTTTAAGATAATTTACTGCAATTGTGAGCAAAATGGCTAATCTTGTCATTTCCCAACACTCAAACCCATGGAAAACCGCTGTCTTGGGGTTGTTTATAAAGAGCACAAAACTGCCTTCAGTTTTCCAGTTTTAGCACTGAAACTTCCAATGCTAAACTAGTTTATTGAACAGACTATGCTAGTTAATTTTTTGTCCTACACATAAGTCTCAGTTTAAAAATCTCAATTACTAGAATCACACAATGCACCAAATCAAAGTTGGTTTTGTTCTTCCATGAAATTCAGAATAAACAGGGATTTATGCCTTTGTTGCATTGAAAATCAGCTCACTCCTCACAGCAATTTTGATGGATGACTATAAAGTGGTCAAGGTGGGGCAAATGTTGTTATGTGTACCATGACATTATCCTATAAATATAGAATTTAGAGTATAGAATTATACAAATTATGTTATTTGTAAAATGATATCATGATGCACATTATGTCATTGTGGTTTCAATTAGGTACCTAAGCATGTTTTCTAGATGCTTAACCTTTTGTTACTTGTAGAAAAAGAAAAACTGCCTCAGTTTAGAGATGAAACCTGAAAATAATATTGCTTTATAAGAATTTTAGTTTGGGAAATAAATAACGTATGAAACTATCCCTTTCCCTCAAG